CTTATCTTCTAGTGATGAAACTACAAATGCATTATGTATGGCTAGAATAACATCAGGGGAGAAGATTCAAAAGTTCAGAAATTATGGAACTTTGCTAATATCGGTGTCAACAATACAAAAAAAATGACAGTGTATGGATATCTTGTATTGCTATAGTTCAGTCGATGATATATAGTTATATATACCTTGTATTTTGATAGGCCATATATGCCAGTAGGCCTTGGCTTACTGGCAAGAACTGTGTGGGTTTCATATGAGAACCATTTTAAGTGTGGATAGGTAATGACATGCTGCATGTACCAAATACGCATAAGCATCTTGAAAGCATACAGTCGATGCATTGGTTGGGATTTGTGAGATCTGTAACTGACAATAACACATATTACTGGCTACGAATTTAGTTCTTATGTCCAGGTCCGTCTTCTGGCTATGTTTGGGGCAATATACTTGTGTTTTGGTATGCCAGAAGTGATCGTGTTCTTTTGAAGTGTTTGGAATGGATCCAGAATCGAGGACTGCCAGCCACGGTTAAGGAGACAACTTGAAGATGTAGATTATGTTTCTGTTGAATTCGAAGGGAATAACCTCAGCTGGCACGATGTTGCTACTTATAAGGCAAGCTCTGATTTTCTATCCTTCATTTGTAGATAGTTTTTTAGTCAAAGAAAATAGATAGAGTAAACGGATTATATATTACAACAATGTTTCTATGTATGGGAGGCTTAGTAAGCATTTCATTCGCATTGATAGTACCAGGAACTTAACCTAATTCGTTTTCTATTACAGCCACCTGAAGATGCTCTTTTTGCTCATCCAAGGCTATTCAGGGATTGTGTTCCCCCAGGTATGCACCGGTTCCGGGGAAATATATGGGATTATGACTGCAAACCTCAAGTGATGCAGACACTGGGGTATCCCTTGGCAGTTAAGGATGAAATTCCCGAAATTACTGAAGCCAGGAACATTGAACTCGGACTTGGGCTACAGGTAATTTGACTGTTATTCTCGTCTTTATATCCAAGAAATTATTTACTGATCTGTCTCCTGCTTGATTCCTCATGTTTTTTCGATAATGGTATACAGCTTTGTTTTATGCATCCATCAAAATCCAAGTTTGAACATCTCGGTTTTGCTTGAACGGTTGGAATATGTCGGTCAAAAAGATACAGGTATGGTTTTTTTTTGCAGTTTTTTTCAATGATGGGCGCATGGTTCGGCCTATATTACCTATCTATTATTCGATGACACTGAAGAGCAAGAATGATACAAGAGTAAGATCTTTATGGGTAACTCAGTCTGATACGGTAGGTTTTTCTCTTTTTTGAATCCTTTAGGATCTTGTTATGGCCGAGAGGTTGCTGATGAAGCATCTAGATGCCCCGGGAAGATGGTTGCAAGAGAAGCATCGCCGTGTGCTTATGAAAAGTTCTGTGGGAGGTATTTGCGGGAAAAGTATCTCCATCGATTTATCATCTACTCGGAGCAAGTTCAAGATGCGTACGAGCACAATCGAAGACTCCGAACCCTGCCACAACTGCTGTTAATCAGGCCCTCCATGGACTTTCATACACAGTGTATGGGAAGCCAGATGTGAGGCGTCTTATGTTTGAGGTTTCGATTTCGAGCAAATTCACCTAAATCTGTGTAATATCTAGGGAGTAATTCGTGAAAGCTTAAATCAATCGATACCCTTAGATCATACAATGAGATGTATCACAAATTTTTCCCTATATTATTGTTCGCTTTGGAGTAGGGAGCTGGTTTCAGTTTTAAATCCAATAAATTTACTTCTTTCCTTGAAATGAGTGAATCTAATTAAACAATTAAGTCGATTATTTCATTTTTTTTCCATATTCAAAACTTGAACTTCTATGGTAAACTGCGCCAACGGTCTTCGAACTCCTTTTTTCACCATTGAAATTTTTAAAGTTATAAATAATTATTAATAGATTTATTTATATTTCCCTTCGATGTCTTTTATTGACTTTTCAAAAGTAAAATTTTTTAAATTTTAATTATGATCATTTTAAATATTTTAGATAATTAAATTTTATAAAATATATATTTAAAAACTAGTTGATTTAAAGTTTTTAAAATATATTTTTTATATTTTATCAATAATCAATGTTCACCGAGTCTATCACGAAGAGTCGATTTATAATAAGAATGTTGTCGGTATAATGGTTTGTTAGCAGTTGAAGAAGATTACATGTTGTATTTCAAATTACTTTTTTTTATATATATATTTCATATTATTTTTCATTTCATATTTATATAAGCCACTATATATATAGATTTAAAAAAGAAAAAAGGATAATACACAATAAGCACTAGATAATGGTTAAATTTTAAATGGACTAAAATGGATCCTGGTTTACCAGATGTTTTTTGATACCAATTTAGATAGATATTGAAATTTAGATACCATTAGAATATGGCTAGTTTAAGGATTTTGTAACAATTAACCCAACATAAATATTTTATATTTTTTGCAAAACAAAGAGGTCAAAAAATATATTTTTTGCAATCCAATAAGACATGCCATGTCATCATATTCTCCGCTCACACCCCACATTTCCATATCCAATACCAACCCACCCACCCAAAAAAAAAATCACCTTCAAAACTCCACCCCGATATTTTCATTTCCCGAAACAAATAGATTAGGTCCCAGCTCAGCTAAGCTCAGCGCGCGAAAGCCCTTAACTAACCTCCGTTTCTCTCCAAAACCAAAGGACCCGAACCTAAGCTTAGCCGAATTTCATTCAATTAAATGGGCTGGCTTGGCTTGGCTTGAATGAATGAGTATGCCCGACACCACCACCATCCCTCCAATTTTACTCCGCCTCTTGTTATTTTTCTCCATCTTCGCTTCCCGCCCTCCGCTCGCCATCGACTGTTACGATACCGTGAGATCGAAAGGATCTCCTGTCCTAATCGCCGGAAACTGATGTCGAAATCTCGCGTTTATACTGACGTCAACGTCCTTCGTCCCAAGGATTACTGGGATTACGAGTCACTCACTGTTCAATGGGGGTAATATATTAATGAGTTCTCGAATATCTCTGAACGTTGATTAGGTTTGTTCTTGAATATTAATTAGATTTTAAATTAAGTCACAAATCACAATCAGCTGATACGAATTTAAGATTCTTTAGTTAGCTTAAATTAATAAAAGATTCTTCTTAATCATACTAACAGAACTTAAGCATTTCTATGTATTGATCATCAACTTGATATGTTTTTATTATATTTCTGTTCTATTTCAGGGATCAAGATGATTATGAGGTTATTAGGAAAGTTGGAAGGGGGAAATACAGTGAGGTTTTCGAGGGTATAAATGTCAATAACAACGAGCGCTGTATAATCAAGATCCTCAAGCCTGTCAAGAAAAAGAAGGTTACTAGTATTTTAATCTGTCTGATTTGATTAAGTATTGAGACTTTGAGCAGATTTATATGCGGTAATTTCATAAGGCATATCCACCTTCATCAATGATATAACCTTTGTTATTGTTATTATTATTATTACTATTGACAGATTAAGAGAGAGATAAAAATCCTTCAGAATCTATTTGGTGGTCCGAATATTGTTAAACTTCTTGATATTGTTAGAGATCAGCACTCCAAGACGCCTAGCTTGATATTTGAGTATGTCAACAATACGGATTTCAAAGTTCTCTATCCAACGTTGACAGATTATGACATTCGCTACTACATATATGAACTTCTCAAGGTGAAATTACTCCTCTCATTCAAATTCTTTATTTATAGAATTGGACTCGATCATGATACTTTTGTTAAGTGATTGTTTGTAGTCTTATTGTATACTTGATTGGATTCCAAACGATTTCGCTTTTATTAGGAGTTCTGGTTTGCATCTTTGAATCATAGGATGATAGGAAAATCTTTATTTGCTTTGTAGGCATTAGATTACTGTCATTCACAAGGAATAATGCACAGAGATGTCAAGCCTCATAATGTCATGATAGATCATGAGCTGCGCAAACTTCGGTTGATAGATTGGGGACTTGCTGAGTTTTACCATCCTGACAAAGAGTACAATGTCCGTGTGGCTTCTAGGTAATATTTTGATGGCATCATGAACCATGTGTCTAACTTTCCCATTCATAGCCTTTATATATTTTCAAGTTTTTTTCTTCTTCAAAACAGAATTAGTCCACGTTTGAAAAAGAAAAAAAGATTCTTTTGGGGTTTATTAGCTTTTACCTGAAATTATTTACTCATAGAAATTGAAATTTGTCTATATTACATGAAAATATGTACAAAATTTAGCACGAAAATCATTAAACAAGTCAAGCTAAGGAAAATTAGAATGGTACATCATTTAATTTTCTTGTCAACAAGTACCAACGGTACTCCTTGAAGAATAAATCTGCCTTTTCGTTTATTTTTAAGGACTCACAGTATTAGCATTAAACTTTGAATGATTTCAAAGAGCTTAGATTCTTTGAATCATGCAATTTTTTGGATATATAAATTTCTAGAATATGAAAAAACCTAAAATGTTTCCCAAACAACTCTATAAACAGATTTATGTGGTGTTAACTTTATTAATTGCTCTGTGAAATTCTTTCAGTTCACGGTGCCATGTACAATTGGATTCAGTTTTGGGGAGTTTAATTTCTCTCCTTATGTGTCAGGTACTTTAAAGGGCCAGAGCTTCTGGTAGATTTACAGGACTATGATTATTCTTTGGACATGTGGAGCCTTGGTTGCATGTTTGCTGGAATGGTGAGAAACAACATTATTCTAAATTGACTGTACTAAACTTTCATGTAAAAGATCTTCTTTGGTTGCATAATAGAATAGTTATGGTGTTTGATTTGTTTGTCGTACTTTTCTATTATGTAGATATTCCAGAAGGAACCATTCTTCTATGGCCATGACAACAATGATCAACTAGTTAAAATTGCCAAGGAATGTGCTTCTGCTAATTTGTCGATTTTTTTAATATTGTTTCTGAAGATTAAATTTCTGTCATAATTTTTCTTATTAAACTAACATTTTGGTTTGGATAATGCATCATTTTCTAACTTCTCTGTAGGGATAATGTATTAGTCTATGTGTTTGTACTTCTATTGGATAATGTATTAGTCTCTGTCTTTGTACCTCACCCATCTCAGTTATCTACCTTCGTTTTTACAATCTACATCTGGAGCATCAGTGCATCACTTTGTAACCTTTTCAGCACCTGCTAGGGTTCTTTATTTCTATGTTTCTTGGACTCGAGTATGAGTGTTAGACATGGGCATGTTCAAGTTTTTTCAAGATTATAATGTATTTGAAGGTTCATTGGAGGATCATATCCCCATATCCATGTATGGATATAAATTGGATGCAGATGTCAGACAAGGGTACTTCAAGAAAATGAAGAGTTGGAGCAACATAGGTTTATTCACTACTCTTGTAGGTTTTGATTTAAACATTTATTCTCTTTGTGACTCTCACTTGATAGGAGATAGGTACAAGGGTATACTTTACATGAAATATCAAACAGGAAGTTCTTAACAATATGTCTCCATTTTACTGGGAATGCTACAGAGCTTTTGACTGCTATTCATGCAACTTCAGGTGGTAGGAACTGATGAGTTGAATTCGTATCTGAACAAATACCATTTAGAGCTTGATCCTCAACTTGAGGCTCTTGTTGGAAGGTACATTAATCATGAATTTATCAGATATACAAGTTTGCGTTAAATTATAAACTAAAGCTATGGTTACACTAAACAATGGAGACGCAGTCCGAGGTGATGCAGTTTCCCACACAGATTACATCCCTCTAGTTGAGATTTATAGTGTGGAATAGGTTTATCATTAACGTATAGATATTTTGTTCAGGCACAGTCGAAAACCCTGGTCCAAATTCATTAATGCGGATAATCAGCATCTGGTTTCACCAGAGGTAATTTTTTTCATTTTAGGCAAGCGTCTTGGAGTTGATTATAATATTCTCCGTTACATTGCCTAGACACCTATTAGTAATTGATATTCATTTTTAAACTCTTTTGACTTGCAGGCGATTGATTTTCTAGATAAGTTGCTCCGATACGATCATCAGGAAAGGTTAACTGCAAAAGAAGCCATGGTATAGATCAATATAAGCTTTATATATATATATAGTTAAGATTGAGGGGTTTGACCCATGATTGCTGAAACTAAGATTGTAGCAGTCTGCCTGGGAAAGCCTAGAGTGTTTTATGAATGGTCAATTTCATTCTACATTTTGCTTGATCATTTTTGTTCTTTGGTTATGTGTAGGCCCATCCCTACTTTTCTCAAGTGAGGGCAGCTGAGAGTTGCAGGATGCGTACTCAGTAACCCATTCTCTTTGGGTTTATTTGTATATCTGCAGAGCCCGGACTCAGCTGGGAAGATTGATCGTGCTTCATGTTGCATAAAGTAGCCTATTTGTTTGAGAGCATAAAATCTTTTCTTTTTCTTTTTGGCTTATAATTTCTGATTTTCTTCAAAGTATTTGTCCATGAACATGAACATATGTACAACATAAATACATTCAGTTTATTTCAGGATTTCATGCATTTCAAACATGATTTCATTATTTAAAAATATGACAGTTACAAATGTTAGTTTCAGATATTACATGTAAATTAAAAGTTAAAATAACATAAGTGATGTCAAAACACTTGTATATTAAACATATACAGATAGGTATGAAAGTATAATTTGTCTAGGCTTAAGGTAGAAAATTAAACGCTTTACAACAAAAACTCAGTTAAAATCTTGCATTTTTTAACTCAAATGATTTTTGAATTGGAAAATTAATTTAATTAGGTTTTTTCAACTGAAAATTGTACAAGTTCTTAGGTCAATTTTGATGGTAAGTTCTAATTGTTTTTTTTATTTTTTTTGGAGTTGTTGGTACCATGTGGCATGTTGTGTAACTTGTGTTGTCATGTGTTATTTATAGATTTAAAAAAAATACATATATAAAAATGTTTTAAAAAATATAAATTATTAAAAATATTAAAAAATATATATAAAAGAGGTAAATTTTAAAAATGAACATTATTAATTTTCTAAAAATAAAAAATGTATATAAACATTTTCAAATTTAAAATTACTAAAATTTATTAAATGTTATTAAAATCCAACGGTGACCTTATTGAAAACGTTTGTTTAATTTGTCAAAATCATAACAAAACCATAACATTATTAAACACGTAATCTTTGATGATTTAGTGAATTTTAAATAATTTTCAATATTTTTTAAAAATTGATGCTGTCAAGATTCAGAAATACTTTTATTACGTTTTTGAATCTTTTAAAATTTAAAATAATTTTGCGTTCTTAAATAGTTTTTCATTTTGAAAGATATTTTATAATTTTATAATATTTAATATTTAATATTTTATTTTAAATTTTAATAATTATTATAATTTTAAAAATTACTTAGAACTTTAAGAAAATTTTAATTTTTAAAAAATAATTTTAAAATTCTGAAAGCACCATGTTATGTTACATGATAAAAATAGTCTAAAAATTGTTAAAGGTCAGGGTTCTTTTTTACCCTTCAAACCAAAAAAGTTGTAAAAACTAATAATATTTTTTCCATATCTATTATCAATATTGACGCACATTACGGTATCCGAAAAGCATATATCCAGACTTGACCTCAGGCACCAAACATCTAATGCTTTAATTCCTCCACCATGACACACAACAGATAGGTACTGGATTCTCCTGGCCTGGGTAGAAATATCTCAACTCAAAGGTTATTGGATTCCCTCATAGTGGAAATAACTTATTTGTGGTTAATGTTCGAGATAATGGTACGAACAAATGGCATGCAAATGTATAGTATTTTATGGGAGAAAACAACGAGGCAGTTTTCCAGAAACAAAGCTAAATAAACAACGCTTCATGCAGGAATGAACTAATCGTCCCTAGCATCTATAAATCATGATGGAGGCTTTTACACTACTAATATCCAAATTAAAAGTCTACATAAAAGTAGGCACATTATATTTGATCCAGCTACCTCACTTCTTCAGATGAGGGAAACATGCATACACGTCGGATTTTGGATGCTTTGCTTCGGCATGCTCCCGGCACTTCACCTCAGACGTCGTGCAAATAAATGTCTGCATGCAAACCTTGCACTGCATTTTGCACGATTAAATTGTTACAATCAATCACCGGTTATTAGTAGATCAAACAGATAAGAAGCTCAAATTCTAAATCATAGTAATTCCTTCCACTACATCGGTACGTCGAATGGATGGACTTAAAAATAATCATCTAGGTCCCAAAGTTAAAATTGATGCTTTCCTCTTACTATCGCCCTCATCTGCTAAAGGTTTACAAATCGACAAATAAAAGGGACTGATGAATATCATCTTGAACATGCTTAGGTCGTTCATCTATAACCAATTGGCCAAAAATGGTCCTCATTTCATCGCTAACAATACAATGATACGAGGCTCCTTTTAAACTTAATGCTATTGGAAGTCTCACGTAATACTGCTATGACGCCACTAGTTCTTACAAACGCAAATATTTCATATATAAAACAGATATATCTTAACCCACTATGGACTGATGGAGAACTTGCACATCAAACTCAACATACTATCCATGGCCTGATAGGAGAGAAATTGAGAGGGTGGAACAAACCACCATACACCAACACCCAACAAAAACAGTACTTAAGAGAATTCAAAATTTTATAATCAGACTAATATTTGGTCAAAAAGAACACAACATGAAGACTTATTACTTGCATGAAAAGAGCCACTTTCATAAAGGACGTTAGTTTTAAGGGTTAAGGATGTTAGCATTTTTATTCCAATGATTAGGTTACAAAGAGGCGAAGTGATCCTGAAAAACAACCGTTACATTATAAAATTTTGAATTCCTGTACATTTTTATCTTCTTGCAAAGCAAAGTCCTTGTTAAAACTAATCAGCCAGACAACATTTTAAAACAATCCACATAATTTGATTTGAATCATTTCCTCTGTCTAGAGAAAGACCAAAATATCTTTTTCCGGGGGGCTAAAATCAGACCCACAAAGGAATTAGCAAAACGGCAATAAAATTAATCATGGTTAACAAAGATTTGAACACCAAAATCACCTGAATCGACATAGCTTTCTTGTTTGATTCTAGCTGGCTTCCTGAGAAAAATATATATAATCAGTAGAAGGATCAAATTCATTTTAAAGTAAAAAAAAACCTAATTTTTAAAATTCTTTCTAGTTTCTGATAAGGGAAAGAAAAGTGAAACCTTTTGCAGCGGCTTTAGCCTTCTCGAGATTTTTTTCACGCGCCATCTTCGACTTTTGTGCATTGCCTCCTCCCATATCTGATCGATTCGGCGTGAATATGAACCCTAACTTGGTTAAGGAGAGAGAGGATTCGAAACTCAATTATCAGTTTTCAGTCAAATATAATATAAATAAGAAAAATAGATGAGAATATATACGTAAATATTAGGAGTATTTAAAGCGGGGGGAGAATGAAATACTAAAATAGAAAAAGCAAACCACTATGGATGCACTTTTGTTTTGCGTTTCTCTTAATTTTTTCATCTATTTTTTAAAAAAAATTATGTTTTGATAATTTATATTACGGATTTATTACGTCTCAATATTAATTATTTTTATTCTATTTTAATTTAAATCTTTAATTTTTATTTTTGAAAAAATTAAAAAAAATTAAAATTTTATATAAAGATTAATATACTTTTAAATTTGGTAAAAAAATATGCTCTATGTAAAGATTAACATTTATAAGTGGATTACCACGTCAGTATAATATATAATTATATTAATATTATTAATTACTATATTATTATTGTAACAATCAACATCAGTTAAATAATAAAATTGATATAATTAAAAGAATTTAAAATCAAAATAAATATAATTAAAAAATATTAATCTAAATCTCTTTTTAAAATAAAAGACTGTTTATTTTTTTATTACATGTGAAAAAATCTTATTGAATCGCATCACTTTGTAACAATAATGAAAAGGGAAATGTTTTAGAACAAATGATAGTAGAATGAATAAATTGGGGGAAAATATGAAAGATGAAATTGATAATTATTCTAATGAAGGAGAAAGTGATATTAAGCTAATTAAGGAAATACTGTCAGCTGATATTATAGTAGGATCGAAGTTCCATAGTTGCAAAACGAAGGGTCATTTAAGGAGATGGCGATAAAATATTAGGTACCGACACATTTCCATATAAAAACCAGAATATTCTTTGCTCTGCTTCTCAAAATCCCACCTCTCCAACCCGTTCTTGTACTGTTTCTTAACCAACAAAAGACAATTCAATCTCTTTCTCCATGGAGATTTTTCTCGAGTTATTGTCTACCTTTTTTTGTTCTTTTATTATTTCCTTCGTTCTCTCTAAGCTTCTTTCTTTTTCGTCTATCATTGATCAGCATCTCGAAATTTTGTCGAGATCACATATGGAAATCACAACTGAATCAGAAAAACACGTGTTTGAATGCGAAAAGGGAATTGGATTTGTTTCAGAAGCTGTCAAAATTGATGCTTTTGGTGAATCTGTGGAAGAAATTGATCATGAAGAGTTTTTGGATGGAAGTGATGGATCAAGAGAAGTAAAAGAAGGAACTGTTGAAGGAGAAGAGAATTTTGTTAGTGAAACCACTGAGATTGAATTAGCTAAAGAGGATGAAGAAGAGATTGAGGTTTTGGAGTGTGAAAAAGAGGATGGAAAAGATTGCTTGATGGAGGGGTTATCTGATGATGATTGGGAGGGAATCGAAAGAAATGAATTGGAGAAAGATTTTGGTAAAGCAGTCAATTTTTTGGAGTATAAAAGTAGTGCTAATAAAGATATCAAACTTGGAAATGATTTAGAGATGCAATTGTATGGACTTCACAAGATTGCCACTGAAGGGCCTTGCTATGAGCCTCAGCCGACGGCATTGAAGTTTTCTTCCCGTGAAAAGTGGTAAAATTCACCTCCGAATTTGGGTTTTAAATTTTGTATTATCTCTTGAATTTGCAGAAGAAAACTCTTGATTGAGTTCCTGGGTGTTGCCCATTTGAGATCTAGTGATTCTATTCTATGTGTGATCCACATGGTGATGTGTTTCTTTATCTGATTAAGAACATAAATAAAAATTTGATGAAGAATAATGAATTGAATTGACTTGATGAAGAGTGAAAGCAAAGAATAAAAACATATGGACAAGTGGGGAAAAGCATAATAATCACTGAAAGGAATGGAATGAAACTGATTAAATGATTCGCAGTTGCTTTGTTGGTTCAGTTTAGATTCTTTCCTTGTCTTTGATAATTATCAAAACTGATATTTTTCATTTACAGGAATGCCTGGAAAAGACTCGGGAGCATGAGTCCAGAAGCAGCCATGGAGCTGTATATCACCCTTGTTTCAAGTAGCATGCCCGGGTCCGTTCAAGATGATATTTGTGTAAGCTTACTTCCACATCCTGTGGTTTTTTGATCACTTAAAGCGAACTTGGATTTGTTTATTCATGTTCCCTTCTTGTTTCGATGTTGTAGGGGGATGGTAAACCGGATTCTGCAGATGCAAAAATCACTGAGAAGTTGCTGCCTTTCAATGTCGAAACAATGTCAGTAAACCAAGCTACAGATGTGGATTGCAGGTAATAGTACAAGTACTTCCAATCTATGATTGAATCAGGACAAGAAGCGTTAGGCTCTAAAATGTATCCCAAACACATATCAGCATGGTCGGGGCAACCTGGTGCCCCCGACTTAACTAAACCGATACCCGTTGGAATCCAAATAGTCCCTTAAATTCTCTTTTTCTACTTGGCTTGTTTCAATTGTGATAACTGATAACTCCTATAGGACTTCTAACGAGTTAACAGCACACTTCAAAGCTCTGATGGGATGAAGTCTGCTGTATACACTTGATGAATAAGGTATTGCCGTTGCATATTGGCATTGCTGTTTTGTTTTGAATGTTACTTATAATTGCTATCATTCAGGTCCTTTTAACACTGACTAATGTGCACGAATCGTAGACGAGCAATAGGATTCTTCTTTTCCGTTGCCGGTTTGATCTTCATCAACCAGCTCTGATAATCTCAGTCACATCTACAAGCAACCATGGATAATGGAGGAGTTTGGATCAAGATAATTAGGAGTTTCTGCTTAGTGATTCATATACATATATGCACACACACAGAGAAATGTATGTTACAGTGTTGATAAAGAATAAAAGATCTCAATTTATCAGTAAAATAAGATAAACCCTTATTGTTGATTCACATTTAGGGTAGATATTTGTAATAATCAGTTTTCTCCGAATAGAAAGATAAGAACAATAAAGCCATTGCATTCGTACAGGTGAATTTGGGCTTGTGAATTCCTTTTCCTTGATTTCTCATGTTACACTCGTTTTTACCTTTCTTAAAATATTATGTTTGATATATGAATATGAATAAAATGATATAACTTTTCAAACTTAATAATTAACATTTTATATTCAAAATAGTGAAAATAATTTAAAAATATTATAATATATATATATATTATATTTACTTAAAAATATCTATAAATAATTAATTAATGTTCAAAATCATAAATAAAATTGTTTTTGTCAAAATTTAAAATTGAATATATAAATGTAAAATGAATCTAATTGAACTATCCTAAATGGTTTAACAAATTTTAAAAAAAATCGACCGAACCGGAAGAATTAGACTTATCTCAGCTCTTACGGGTGTCATTCTAGTTTAGGGTGTAAATGAATAGAGCGTTTGGTGAACCGTTCGTATATTATTCGTAGAGATGGGAACGGGGCGGGTCGGGGAGGGTTTTTGGCCACCCGCCCCAACCCGAAAACATATTTATTGTATTTAACCCCGCCTCGCCCGATGAATTTTTAATTTTTCCCATCCTGAATCCGCCCGATTTTTATACTAAAACTCCGATCCGATCCGACTCGATTCGAATATATTAATATTTTAAAATAATTAAAATAATATTTTATAATAATATATTTTATAATTATTTATTATATTTTAAAAGGTTAAAATAATATATTTTATAACAATTTTTATATTTTAATAATTAAAGAACATTTTAATTATATAAAATTAAAATTCTTAAAATATTAAATAGATTTTATATAAAAAAAATATAAATTAACCTGGTCGGGTCGGTGGTTTTTTACCTTAAACCAGGCTCAGTCTCGCCCTAAACTTATATACTACATAATCTGCCCCGAGCACCGAAATTTCAAAAACAAAATCGCCCCTATAGGGTTGAGTGAGGTCGGGACTCATCAGGTTCGAGTTTTTTATCATCCCTAAATATTCGTTTATTAAATTAAATAAACGAGTATGAATAATTTTTTTATGTTCATTTAATAAAAGAATGAATACAAACAGAGGTGCATTCGGTTCATTTATGTTCACATATAAGTTTTTTTTGTTTGTTTATTTAATATTAAATGAATGAATATAAGCAAAGGTATGTTTGACTCATTTATGTTTACAGACAAACTCATTTATCTTTTTATATTTTAAATATTAATAAAATTACATATTAAATTGAATATATGATAAAATTTAGAATTTAAACTATGAATCCTAAGAAGTTTAAGCACTAATTGTATAGTTTTACCATGTTCCCCATTATTAAAAAAAAAAACATTTTCTCCTAGCTCTCTTTCTCTTTATTTTAATTGAATATGTTCTTAAAACTAAATGAATAGTTCGTGAACGCTAAACGAATATATTCACGAATACTAAATAAATGTTAAACGAACATGTTCACGAACATTAAACGAACATGTTCACGAATGTTAAATGAGTGTTAAACGAATATGTTCATGAACATTAAACGAACACGTTCACGAACATTAAACGAACACATTCCGAACATTAAATAAATGAACACGAATACATCTAAAATATAAATAAACAAACACGAATATAACTAAAAAATTAAACGAACACAAACCGAATATAAATACCTTCAAAAATAAATAAACAAATAAAAATACAACCTTATTAGTGCAAATTCATTTCATTTACGCCCCCAGTCTAGTATCTTTGGTCTAAAAGTTCTTACCTCCAAACTCACCGTTTCACTTGGAACAGTAAAACGGCGCGTGTCTGAGATCGAAATGGGGATCGTAATCGCAACCTCCGTTTGGGAACCAAGTTCCTCCGTCTTCGTTTTCATTTCCATTTCCATTTCTTGTTTCCTCTCACGTTATCTCTTCCCTTTCTATCTCTCCAAACACGCCTCTACCAAGTCTCCTCCTTTCTCCGACCATCCAAACTCCTCCTCCTCCCTTTCTCTTCGCTTCCAACTATACTTTCTCTGTATATATTCCCTCGCTTCAGGTACATATAAAAAAATAATTTTTTTGTTTGTTTGTTTGTTGTGTTTTAATTTAATGCTAAAAAGGAGAGTTGATCTGATCTCTACGTCTTCGTATTTCTAGTGTTGGAAGGATTATGGTCGGTGTACGGAGAGTTTGAGCTGTTTTATTATGGAATAAGCAAGGAAGATACGGTGACGTTTTTGCTTATTGGATTTGGAGCTGCTCTTTTCGTTGGTAGATTCTTAGGTCTCGTTTCTGATTTAATGTGAGTAAAACTAAGCATTTACATGTTCATTGAATCATTTTAATGTCTATATTGAATGGATTAACCGTTGTCATTTATAGGTTGTATAAATTGTGAAAATTTGTATATCTTTATTTATTTATATTTATGCAGGGTCGAAAGAAAATTTGTTTGGTGTTTTTTATCTTGCACCTTATTGTTGGGATATGGAAGATGATTGTATCAAGTCCTAGCTTTTGGATAGCAAATGTATGTTTGTCTTTGGCAACATCAATATTTACCTTCAGTTTCGAGACATGGGCTGTTATTGAACATGACAAGGTTGGCTCAAACCTCAAAGATTTGGTTCTTTCTTGCTATGTTTATTTGGTTGCTAAGAAAAAAAGAGGGAATATTGAGCATGATGACATGGAAAATTTCTTTTTTCCTTTTCAGGTGGGTCATAGGCAAGATATTTCGAATGAAACATTTTGGTTGATGATTTTTTTTGAGTCTGCAATTCTGCATTTTTTATTGGAAGTCAGGTGATTGGTAATTGGATGGTGAGTTGAAATTTGGAGAAAGGGATCGGATCTCCTTCCATTGTAGCTTCCTTACTTGCGATAGTGGGTATCATCTGTAAGTCGAGAGATCATGATGGAACTCCAAAGACAATGACATTTAAGGATTATCGGGTGTCCTTTTACGCGTATATCCTCGGTGGTAAGCATTTTGTAGTTTCATTAATTCTCTTGTCTTATCCATCAAACTCATAGCGGTAGAACCTTCTAAAAATCACAAATTTAGCATCTTTTTGACATTATCCTATTTGTAACTGAACATTTAAAGTTATAAATATAGATGTACAGATGTGTGTCACATCATCAAATACATGTAATCATTTAAGGTAGATTAGAGTTTTTTCCTGAAGCTCCCTCTCCATTAAGTTCTTGTTTTCTGTCTTGACTAATGTGGTGCTACATTATTGATGATTGGGTTTTGCTGAAAGCCCTACCTTTGACTCTTAGTTTTTATCTCTTACCAAAGAAGAAAAAATGTTATTAAGTGTTGCCTTCTGCAGGTAGAAGGATATGGCTACTAACATGTGCACAAGCTTGCCTTCCTTACTCCATTGCAGTTTTCTGGATTCGTTGGCCCCCTACACAGGTGGTAAGATTGTATCTGTTTCAACAACGTATGATTAGTACTCAGTTTTGTGTTTCTTCCCTTTAGGTTTCCAAATTATCTTCTAGGAAATTTGATTCTTTGAAGTATAATGTTGAAGGTGATTTTATATGTTAGGCTGATGGTCGAGAAGTGTATCTAGGGTTGATATATCCATGCATGCTGGGGGCAAGGATGTTAGAAAGCACAGTGTTTCCCTGGCTTATTGATGCTTCGTTTCGGACTGAGGATTGCATAATGTATGCATTTGTCACACAGGCTCTTCTTTTGTCAATTATAGCTTATGATTATCAGGTATGTTTGTGCTGTCCCCCTGTAATTATTGTAACTTTATAAATTAGGGACTAGTATTTATTCTAGCCATGGCCTCAGTGTTCTTGTGGTCTGGATTGCAGGACATTGGAGTTCTGGTGACCCAGTTTTTTTTATTCCATGCCTGCATTGGCCTAAATCTGCCTTCACTTGCAAGACTGAGGACCATGTATGACAAATGTTTTCCTTTTATCAAGTTGTAAAGTAACTTTTCTTTCTTAGTGCCTTCTATATGTAGAAATTAGTTTTATTACTCTGCTTTGATCATGTATATGAAGGTATGTATCAAATGGGCTGTGTGGAGGAATGATAAGCCTTTCTCTGGCTCCTGCAAATGCAGCAATTTTGTTTCTTCTAATGCAGGTGTGACCCTGACTATTTTATGCATCCGTGCTCATCTGCATGCAGATGTGAAATGGCAGTATGAAACAAAATACACCACTGCAGCCTGCTTTCATCGGCTGCTGTCTTAAATTGGTTAAGAATGACTTAGGCATTGTGTTTTCCATGGGGCCTATGCTTGCCCCTAGTTTGGATCACTTGAGGGTAGGAAAACGAGCTCGAGCATCCCCCAATAAATTTTGTGGGAAAATTTGGAGTATGATATATGATACTATTTTCTTTTCCTGATGAACTAACTGGCTAGCTTCTTCATGTTGCAGAGAGGCTATTATCGGACCATTGAGAACTCAACAATGATAGCTTTTGCTGCAGTTGGATTATTCATGGCGGATGGTTGCATGCATGTTTTAAAACGGTGCGGAAAACAACCTTATCAAAACAGGCACAAATTATAATTGTTTCATATCCCATTTTCGACAGTATTGATGGTTTTCCTAGAGTCTATCGTTAGTCGCTGATTAAACTGAAGGCTTAAACAGAAGTCACCATTGACCTTCATATTACTAGCATGGTATGTGAAACGGCCAAAAAGGAAGAACTTATTTCCAAGTTGCAAGGATTAACTAAGTTAGATCGATAGCCTGCCAAGATGTCGACATGAGAAATACAAGCAAAGAGATTTCAGCCGGTATCAATGGCTGTCAAATACCATCGCAAGTATTATTCAACAAAAGTGAACGTGTTTTACAAAGAATTTTGTTCTGCTCTGCAAGTTCAGCTTCGAAGTATAAGAGGATGCAGCAGCAGCTTAAAGGCGACTTAATGCATCAGTTGGCCTCTGATTGTTAAGGTTAATATTTTTTTTAGTAGGAATTTTTTGCAAAAGCCTCGGGCTTGAAAGATTCACTGAGAGAATCATAACTCGACTGAAATTGAGTTCTATTATCTTTCTGCAGGGCTTTTATCTGTTTGTTTAGATTAGGGAGATAAGGTCTCTTTCCTTTACTTTATGGCTGACATGTTATTTTTGTAGAACTGAAAATGAGAAACCATTCTTTGATTTACTGTGTTATGCTATCCGGATTTGAATTGAGTGTTGGATGCTTAAACTGAAAATGAAACTGAATCTGAACTGAAGCTACAGCTCAAGCGAAACCCAACCCGAACTGTTTTCTTCCTCGAAAGGGCCCAAGCCATGAGGGGACAATCCCCGATCCATGGCCCTCACAATCTGGCTCGTGGAAGCACGAGCAATACAAAAAAAATAGCGTGCAAGTCAATTTCTGCCACAGTTTGGTTGCATTAAGCAATCCTTGCCAATTCTCACTTCTCCAACCACAAAAAATATTGGCACTTTTAATGGCGATTTATCGATTTAATCCACGTAATTCTCAGATAGACCCCATTGTTAAGAATCCTTCAAAGAAAGAAAAAAAACAAAGTAATTCTCTGATTGTATCTGATCCACTCAAATTATGTAGGACTAAACGTTGTTTTAAATGAACTCAATTATTAATTGTAGCGAGCTCTTCTTCTCTTCGCCTCCCTGGATCGAACTGTGTTGAGAAAGATAGATAGATGCTTAGATTAAATGTTCATTGTTCTCTAAATATTCCTACTCCGGCGCATATTAAGCTTGGGAGTAGTTATGGTTCTGGCTTAGCTAAGTTCAACAAGCTGCCTCGTGGGGTTCCAGTGAGGGCGTTAAAAGATGACATGGACGGTGGTATGAGCGGTGCCTTTCAAGGCCGGAGCTGGGAACCGGGCTTGGAGATCGAGGTCCCTTTTGAGCAAAGGCCGGTATGTTCACAATCTTAATATACTCTTCAAAATTGCATTTCTTATATGAACACGCAGTGCGTTTGCTGAAAATAGGTGAATGAGTACTCGTCTCTGAAAGACGGTCCTCTGTATTCATGGGGCGAGCTGGGGCCAGGCCAATTTTTCCTTCGTCTGGGAGGGCTGTGGCTAGTAACTTTCACGGTTCTTGGAGCCCCAATAGCAGCTGCAAGCTTCAATCCATCGAGGGTAAGTCCAAAAAGATCACTGTTTATGTTATTCTGACCCTTGTGGCTAAAATTCAGAATACCCATATCAAATATACTTGGTCCAAATAACATTCTGATTCGCAACTTGCAGGAACCTTTAAGATTTGTGCTTGCTGCTGGTACAGGCACTCTCTTCCTCGTGTCATTGATTGTATTAAGAATATATCTGGTATGATCGTCTTCTTCAAGTTTTAACCCTTTTTGTTGCTGTTGTGCTTAAGAATGATTCAGCCATGGCCATTTTTCAATCATTCTAGGGAATTATTGTGTGTGCCATGCATATATAAAAAACATTAAATATGTCAGTTAGCTGAAACAACAAAAGCATGATTCAGTTTAACTAAAAATCTTATAAGATAGTTCATCAAGCAATCTTAGCACCACAAATTTCTTGGAAATGACACAACAAAACAATCGATTTAACTCACATAACCACAAAGATTCTGAGTATCAGTTTCAGTGACCTTGAAAACATGAATAATGTATTCAGCATGTTGCAGGGATGGAGTTATGTTGGCGATAGACTTCTATCAGCGGTAATACCGTATGAAGAGACTGGCTGGTATGATGGTCAAATGTGGGTAAAACCACCTGTGGTTAGTACATATGTCAATGGCGGCTCTTGGTTTCTAAAGCAAGAAAATTCTTTCACCATACTCTTTAAGATACACCGTCAAAAGCTTTTGCAGATACAATTTTATCCACTATATTGCTATCTTTAATCCCTTTTCCCTTTACAGGTCCTGGCCCGTGACAGATTGTTGGGCTCCTATAAGGTACTATATATCATATTCATATTTTATGAATGAAAACAAGGCCATGAAAGCTAGACATGAGAAAATGTATGATGGACTCCAGGTTAAACCAGTTATCAAGTTGTTGAAACAGACACTAGTTGGAACAGGGTCCTTGCTTGTTACATCGGTGTTTCTATTTATATTCGCTGCACCGATGGAGGATTTCTTTAAAACAACATTCGTCACAAGAGATGCATCATCAAGTGTTCTTGCTTCAAAAACCAACACAAAGTTCAATCTAAGGTACGTACATGGATGTCACACATGAAGAATCAACATAAACTCAAGTTCTCTAAATGTCATGGTATGTTGCAGCACCGCTTTCCATATATATGTTTTGTAGGAAGAGGAGTTGCTTAGCCTGCCGATAGAGGTTAAGGATGATGACGATCTAGCAGCGGCTGCGGCAGAGGCTGCTGATGGAAGACCAGTGTACTGCAGGGATAGATTTTATCGTGCATTAGCGGGTGGGCAGTACTGCAAATGGGAAGATCTAATGAAGTAGTTAGCTTGGTTGTATTCTGGACCTGGGTAGTTGAAGAATGGAAAGGGAATGGAAAACTTGATCCTCTTGGAATTTTTATATGGTCAATTCGCTTTGAACTGTAGCTAAAGAATATGTAAATGCAAAATTTGCTGCATCATTCATGCTACTCAGAAAGTTTAAAGAAACAAACCCACACACATCGTGATTAAAACGTTTTAAATACAGTTTGATATCGTTTAAGTATGCATTGAGTTCGAGACTTTGTATGTAGAAAATTCTCAATGGGAGACCTACCCACAAAAAAATCAAGTATGCGACACAGATCGATTTGAATTAGTTATGGCAAAGTTCTAGAGAATCGGGAGGGCAACAAAAAAAAACGTTGTTTATTTGTAATTATACTGTATATGAAGTTTAGTACTGTGAAATATGATTTTTAAATGATTACATAAATTAGTTTAATTAAATTCGTTTCTATATATTATGAAGAAACTGAATTAAGTTTTTGATTTAAAATTAGACCTTCTTTGAGCTTTCCTCTTGGCTTTATTAACATAACAATTAAGGATGAATTGTTATTTGATACACTATTAGTAGAAAAAAGATTAACAAATGATTTTATGATGATAATATGTGTTTTATTTATTTATTTAATATGACCCAAGTATTTTTTGGTAAAATTTTAAAACAATGAATTTTTTATAAATTAAAAATTATCTAAAGTGTTAATATTTATATTTTAAATTTTAATTTAATACAAATTCAAATATTTAATTGAGAGTTAATTTATATTTACAAAAGAATTGGAGATCAATTTGTAAATTGAAGTTGGAGACAGAATTACATCCAAATAAAAGCCAAAGGTCAAATTGCATCCAACAAAAAGTCGGGGCCAAATGGCACATCAAAGACAAAGTTAGGGGCTAAAGGTACATTAATCCATGATCAAACATTTACCATAATTATCATTAAAAAATGAACCCTTAAATACTTTACAATTTGAAGTGACATTTACCCCGATGTCCTAATCGTATCAGCTTTACTCCCTGACGCAGCCACCTCCCATTTGTTTGTGACATTGGGGGGAAAAAATACCCGACCGGCGGCTACATCACAACTCACCCTCTTCCTCGAGACATGTTCAGCGGTCTACAAAAATGAATTAAAAGTTAAGTTTAATTAGGACTGTCACATAATTAATAACGTGTCAGCAAATTAACATGGCTCTTTTCTGTGGGCTCCGATTCCAGACTGTGTCGACTCTGGATCGCCACGTTACACTGTCTCTTTGTTTGATAGTTTTGATGCTCATGGCCCCATAAGAGGTTTCCCATCGAACGGTTATTTCTGATCTCAACATCAATTTTTTCCTGACTTTATTTATATATTTAGACCCTCTCTCTTACTACCTTACCAGTTTCTTTTACCACTTCACTCTCCCGCTATCTCAAACAATGGATCTTAGAAGCGCATTTGCGGTTGCTTTGATTGCTATTGTGGTGACCGCTGTCGCTGCTCAAACTCCGGCAGTCGCGCCTGCTAAATCTCCGCCGGCAGCGACAACTCCTGCTACTGCTCCCGTGAGTAAGCCTAAATCACCGGCTCCCACGGCTGCCCCTACCACTTCTCCATCAACTTCTTCACCACCGGCTGCGGCGGTTCCAGCTTCATCTAAATCTGCTCCGGCTTCTTCTCCTCTGGCTGCTACTCCAGTGAGTTCGGCACCTGCTTCTTCTCCTCCGGCTGCTCCTCCAGTGAGTTCGCCACCGCCTCCGGTACATGTAAGTTCTCCTCCTACCAAATCACCTCCCGTTGCTGCACCGAGTCCTCCTCCAGAGAGTTCGGCCTCACCTCCGGCTCCTGTTGTGGCACCGACTACTGCTCAGGTTCCGGCACCAGCTCCAAGCAAGAAATCTAAGAAACACAATGCGCCCGCTCCTTCTCCCGATTTGCTCGGATCTCCTGCAACACCAACTGGCGCTCCTGGACCTAGCCTCGAAGCTTCTTCTCCCGGGCCTTCGGTTGCTGCCGATCAGGTACATTCTACTGTCTTCACTTACATTTCAATCTAGTTTTCTTCTATCTTACACAGTTCAACAATGCACTTCCAGATCTGAGCAGTTAGACTCATTACACTGCATACATTAACAAACTCGATCTTACACTGCATTAATATATTCAAAAAAACTTTTTAATTTTATTATTTTATATGTGAAAGAATCATTTATAGTTTTCAAAAATCGTTGAATTGTTTTATGCGGAAAATGAAATAAAAAATGCAGAGTGGAGCAGAGACAATGAAGAACATAAAGAAGATTGGCGGGTTGGCATTGGGTTGGGCAACCATTGCTCTGGTGCTCTAGACTAGATTTCACCACATTCAACATTTGCTTTGTAATTCCTTAGCGTAATGATAGTTTGACTTCGACAGGCTGAGACTGCAGTTTTTCTTTAGTGTTTTCTGGACAATTCGTTTGGTATTTTGGCTTTAGGACATATGCTTTTCATCATTTACCCGTTCCTTTTTGTCTTTAATATCATTTTCTTATTTATTCTTCGATCTTATTTTAATAAAATCACAATTTGTTTTACTATATAGTACTTTTTTTTGTATTGCCAACACCAATTAATCAAAAAAAAGAATACGAGATTGTACAAGTTCACTAAACCGGATTGGTTGCGTTGCGTTTCAAGCAATAATTAAATATTTGATTTTTTTTTTCATTCCCAAATTATACAAAATATCTAGGCATAATGTCAAAAATAATCCCTAAAGTTTACAAAAATAACCATTTTATCCCTTTTTTTAAAAGAATTTTGACCCTCACGTTTTACTTGAGGGGCAAAACACTTCCGCTATAGATAAAAATTATTAGTTAATACATGATTAACACTTAAAATATTAGTCTTTTTTAATTTAAAATAAAATGTTAAGTGTTAAAATACCCCAAAAAGAAGGAGATTTTACCTTAAAATAAAACATTAGAAGTCAAAATACTCAAAAAAATAGAATATAGGATAAAATGAGCATTTTGATAAACGTTGATAGTTAATTTTAACATGCCAAATATCTAAATTATTGAAAGAAAACTTGATAATATTACATGGAAACTATTTTAAAAGCTTTAAAGAACCTGAACCGAAATCAAAATGAAACAATAAGGAAATAAAATTCAGACTGCTCTTCGACCAGCTTAAAGAACATCAATTAAGGCTGTTTGTCCAATTGATAAATGAAATATTGCATAAGCAAATAACTCTCGAGAGATTATAATAGTCAATTTAAAAGAAATGGATTTTGATCTGACAATGTCAAACAAAATGGAACTACAGAGAAGCATAAAATGCCCGCGTCTTGGTTGGCTGCCTGCAAATGCATGACTTATGAATCAATCTGACTATCGAGTTTAATCTGAAAAACAGTGGAGTTGAAAGAATAAATAGCCATGGGGCGTAAACCAGGACATTATTCATCGATTCGTGTTATTACCCCCCCCCCCCCAACAAGCTCGTCGTTAAGACCAGACAGACTCACATTTATGAAATTCCCTTCTTACAATCACAAATACACATAAAAAAGAAGAAGCATTTCACAAGAGGACTCCATTGAATCCTCTACAAACTAAAATTTTCGATTTCCTACACACCCTGTAAAATGTAAATCCAAGGAGCAAACCTTCCAAATGCAATAATTTGGCACATTAAATGTATGCAACCTGTATCTTAGATCCAATGCCTTGGATGCCGTGAAAGTTGTTTTCCTACTTTCAGCCTCTCCCACCACTACCATGTCGTTGGCTTCTGAAGTAGGTCAGAAGTGCCTGTGCCTGCAACCAACAGCAGCTTATGATAATTTTCAAGAAAGGTAAAAGAAAGATATTTTTAGGAAATAACAGGAGTATACCTTCTCTCTAGCTCTTGGGGTGCCTGACTGGGACAAGGCCACTAGTGGTGGAACAGCTCCTTCTTGGAGCACCATACTGCAAAACCGACCGCTGGTCGTACAGAGTTGTAAAAGAGCAGCGGCAGCATTTTCCTTCCCTCTCACTGAACCCAACTCAACAACTTCGACCAGCACAGGAATCCCACCCTCCTGCCCAATAGCATTCCTCCCTTCAGGAACTGTAGCAAGATTAGCCAAAACAGCAACTGCCTTATCAACCATTCCAGCTGCTGGGTCCATCAAGTCTACAAGGTGCCTTACAGCACCAGCTTGCACAATTCGGGCCTTGTTTTCATGAAATATTGACAGATTAAACAAGGCGGTAGCTGCATCTTTCTTTCCCCTAGGAGTACCATTCCCCAATAAATCAACAAGAGGCTCAATTGCCCCAGACCTTCCAATCTTGACTTTGTTATCCTCAATGACCGAAAGACTAAAGAGAGTAGCAGCAGAGTTTTCTTTGGCTTCAGGGCTTCCTGTCTCAAGGACATGAATCAGAGGCTCAATTGCATTGGCATCAGCAATAGCTGTTTTGTTGTTATCATTAATTGATAAGTTAAGAAGTGCTGTAACAGTATTTTCCTGAATCTTTGTATCCGGTGAACGAAGCAAATCAACTAGCAAGGTAATGGCCCCACAGTTTGCTATTATAATCCGATTATCCGTATTGTGTTTAGCAAGTAACCTGAGTTGAGTTGTGGCCTCTCTTTGATTATCAACTGAAGTGCTCTTCAAGTCATCTACCAACTTCTTAACCTGGGTTTCAATGCCAGAAAGATCAGCCCCGTTCTCAACACCAGGAGAAGAAACTATCCTTGGAATGAACCGCTCTGATGGCCGGCGCCAGATTGTTTGGCTTCGAGATCGTGCTTCTACCAATCGAGGAGGAAACTCAGGTTCTCTCTGTGAGACGACTGAGCTGACTGTAGGCTGTGAGTCAGATTTAACCTCCCCAGAAACATCACTATTGTAGGCTGTGAGATGAGTTTCAGAAGTCTCATTGGCATCTCCAACTGCTCCTTGAGGAGAATCTGAATTAGGAAGTGCACTAGAAGCTGAAACAGATCTTGTATGGTTCTGAGATGACTGTCCGGCATTGTTAGAAGCTGACACAGGTGGTTCGCAAACAGAATTGTTATACCTTTGTTCCAACTCTGAACTGTCTACGGAACTATTTGGTGATGTTCTTGCAACATCCAGACTCTCTCCATTTCCAGCTATACCTGGCATGGAACCCCCTGAGGTAGAACGAGGATGCAGTGGGGAGGTTCCCTCCCGATGAATTCCACTGGAAGTGACTAGGTTCTTACCAGCTTGACCTCTAGACCGTGACTCAGGTGATAATGGTTGGCTGCTTCTAGGAGCAAAACTATTTGAATCCCTTGGCAAACCAGACTCTGCAGTCACAAGAAGCAGATAGGACTGGTTTAAACTGGACTTCATGGGATTAGGCAACTTCACATTGTTTGACTCACACCAGTTTGCAATTAGTGCCTTTACTGTATAATTAGGAATAAGATTGGTATGAGTCAAAGTTTGCCGTGTCTTGGGGCAGACAGTGAGACCAAGACCAATCCAGTTCTTAATGAAAGCCCGCTCATAGGTTTGTCCAGATGCCACAATCACAGGATCAGTCATTAGCTCTAGGGAAAGGGGGCAGCAGAAATCAGTAGGTATGGGAACCGGGCTACTGGTTGCAGATTGTTTCATTAATAGAAGACGATCATGCATGCGAGTTACAAGAGCAATTATTTGATCAATAAATTCAGCTTCTGCAGTATTTTCAGCTTGTTCAGCATTCTCCTTCAACTTTTCAAGGGCTACAGCTTCTATCAGAATCTCCTGGTTTGACCTCAAGCTCAAGTTCTCTGCAATTTTCACTATTATGTCCGAGGATGGTCCAACACTATCCACTTGATCCCGTATGGCTTCCCTGATGACAGATGATGCTTGTTCATATGCTACATGCTTAATTTTCTGTAAGCAATCCTGCAATCAATTGGCAATAATTAAAAATCCTGAAATGTGGATTCTCCTTTAGCATTTTTTTAACTCAGAAATCAAATCAAAATGAAAGCTAAATATTTTCTCACATCTCAAAACTGTATACTTGCATGACATTCACTCTCCAATAAATGGCTTTTTTTTGGTATATGGTAATAATTGTGAGAATACAACAATTATGCTGTATTTATAAAACTTGAGCACAACATGAAGAGTACAAGCTTCAAATAAAAGTATAAAACCTCAAGTAACTTGGGTTATAAATTACCTCAACAGATGCTGACCTCAATTTATCAGGCAGATGCTGATGGGAAGACTTCAAGAACTGGAACATATCCAGGCTAGAATTCCGAATCTTTGATATTAATGACTCAACTTGCAGAACCTAGAGACCAAGTGGAACAGAAGATGATTATCCAAGTTCATTTAATTAAAGGTCAACACTAATCGACTAGTAGCTAGCTAATAAGAAAAATATCTTCTTATATATAATATTATTTTCTGAAAAGGCACCCATCTATAGCAATTTTCCATCTAAATATGAGCAAACATCAAAGAATCAGGGCTTAAGGGGCTAAATATATTCCAAAAGCTATACATTCCAACATGATAATGGTCTAATAACCATAAGAAATAAGAAGAAAATGCACAAATCCATAGACCATAGGGGCAGAAAATATGTCTAACAGGTTATTGCACAAGAATTACCTGTAAAGTTACAACAATAATCTACGACACATTTCATATGAAAATATTAACGTTCAGACGAGTAAATTAGTAATTGATCAAAGCTTCATGATATCAGGTGTATGCCGATGCCTAAAAGGTTAACTTAAGTACTTCTTCCAGCCGTAAGCTGACTGAAATTGCTAAGTGAAGTTATGAACTTAAAGTAACTGGTAACTTACAAAGTAAACTTTACTCGAAAGGGGTTGCCAGCTTTCAAATTGCTCTCTCAATTCTTCTATAGAGAGACTTAGCCCTTCCAATGCCTTACTAAGCACTTCATCAGAAGATATTTCTGAATCAAGGATAGAGCTAAGAAATGGCTTCAACAACTTTAATATCTCTTCTGCTCCCTGGTAATACTTCTGAACTGGATCAGAGTTGATGTTCTCAGAAGATGACAAATTTAAAAATGAGGAAATGTTACTGAGAAGTGCTTTTAACAAAGATATCTCCATATGATCTGATTAACAAAAAAGAAGTCGGAGAGATCACAAGTAAGAAAGAGGAGAAGGACAAAAACAACAACAGCAACAATAATAACTACAATGCATAGCATAAAAGCAATATGATATATCTTTGTCATGAAAATACAGGAAGCTTAGAGCCTAATTACTTTGGTTCAACAAATATTTTCTTTCTTAGCATTCAATTTAACCTAAACCAAAATCATCAGTGAACTAGAGCATATGCCAGCAACACCACCAATACTGGTTATTTTTTCATAACAAAACTGATACAGGGACAAAATGGAAAAAGAAAAAGAAAAGTAAAACAGGTAAGCCCACAAAAATTGAGAACGTAGCACGTACCTTGTTAAACAGAAGAAAAAAAATCAATGATGGATTAAGGATCCTTTGGAAACCATATTAGTCCATAAAACTGAAGAAAACCCTTTGAACACCAGTACCACAGCTTATGTAGCACACTATCTTGATAACAAGAACCAGACAGGTATTTTGAAATCTCATCTTCGCCAACTAGCAATCCTAATAAAGAATAAAAAATAATAAATGAATAATTTAAACCACCAAATATATTATTGACCGCCAAAATGCAAGCCTAAAAGAATAATCAAAAGCAACCTCTCGGCATTAAACATAACACGATGCCCGACCACCCACCATCGAGGAGAGAGTTAGCTGACTAATCAAGCCAAATTCTTGTCAAAGATTATATGGAATAAATGAAGATTAGGGAATAATTGAAACTGTTCCTTCAATGGATTCATCTTTACTCCAATGCCTCATAAACTTCAGTACTACAGGCAGAGTCCCTCTTCACTAAAGCCCATGTATCTAGAAAATTAACAGTTAGTTATTTGTATATATTGTTCCTATTTTTTGTTATCATTCACACTTCTATAAAAAATTAATGCATATCAGATATTCAGATGTACCTTTTGGAATAAAAAAAAGATATCATTGGAACAAAAATAACCAGATAAGACTACTGGGATGTAGAATCATCCATACGATGATCTAAACCCAGTATTAGCATGTTTCAATTCGAGGATAAGAAAACCTTAACAAGAATTAAAAAAAGCAAACATAAAACGTTACAGCAACCATGTTCAAACTCCACATGCTACTAGATTAAAACTAGCGCAGCAGTAATGAAACCAACAAATTTACCCGAATCATTACTTCCAAAACCTATCTTCAAATGGTTTCTAATATCATTTATATGGAGCAGATTATAATTTATGTGCTTTCCAAGTTCCCACTAACGGTATAATAATATCACAATTATTCAAATTCTTTTATACCTGAATGATTTTGTCACTATTTGTATTGTAGTTATATAAAAGTAATAATAATTTGTTCAAAGAACAAACTTCAGCTGTTTTTCGCGGTTTCCCAGCAGCAAGGCAAACAAACAAACAAATCCCTAAACACCATCATTCCTCCTATAAAATCTCAATCCAAAAACCCACTTATCCTTTCAAACTCATACTAAGAAACAACATGATCATAAAGAAAGTAGCTAGATCAAATGGGTTTCCTCATTCTTTAAAAAATATCCAACTCCAAGAAGTAAACAAGAACCTGAATTCGTATATAAACAACAAAAGATAATTAAACTTAAGAAATAAAGAGAAAATTTTCAAAGACGCGGAAAAAAAAAAAGGTACCTTAATGCAGCTTTGAATTCTGGGTTCTTTCCCCTTTGATGGTCCGCTGATCTTTCCAAGAAAATAAATAAATTAGTCCCAGATTTCGCTATTCTGTTGCTGGGTCTTCAGGCATTTTTACCCCTTTTTCCAGTTTTTTTTTTTAAATTTTATTTCGGGATTAGTTAATTCTTTATTTATTTAATCGTTTTGCTTGCGTTGCTTAGTTGGAGATTGGTGGATTCTCGTCGTTTTGGAATTTTATTTATGAATATTTTGACTTGAATTTTCGGAATGTATTTTAATTATACTTTTATGATCGGCCACAAGCAGTAATCCGGCATAAATAATTAAATATCCTCACATTTTTTACTAATCCAATAAAAGCATTTTCCATGAGAATATACATACATAAATTTCATTTTCTTTCTCATTTTTCCCGAATAATAGTATTTAATTAAATAATTATAATTCAATCATTATAAAAATACGATTAGTATACAAATAATTTTTTTTCTTAAATAGTCTGAGATGATTATAATATAATATTTGTTTATCATCTTTATTAACCATTACCAACGTACACACATTCATAGGCGGAATTAGGATGAAATTATGGGAGAGACTAAATTGTTTATCTTTGAAATTAACAAGATTTTAAAAACTAATTAAACGACAAAAGATAGAGGATTGAAACTTAATTTCAATAATTTCAAAATTGTCACGTCTTAAAAAGTAATTAAATAAAAAAAAGTTAGACAATACTTTAAAACTGATGTTTTAAAAATAAATAAACTATAAAATTTTAGGAAAGTCAAGACTTAATATTAATGGTTTTAAAACTTTTAAGAGTTTAAAATACAATTAAACCATAAAAGTTGGGTGAGTCATGTCCCTTTTGCCCCCACGTGATTCTGCCTCTAGACACATTCTATAGACACAACTGTTCAAACATAAAATTAGAACTGTTCGAACCTAAAATCAATAACTATATTCTATTTAATTACTGATGTTATTCCAAATAAACTTAAAAGTTTAAAATATATGATAATTGGAGTAACTTAAAAGTTTAAAATATATGATAAAGGAAATATAAGCAAGCAAAAACATGTTCTTGCGATTAGTTTAGATTATTCTGAATAACCGACATTTTCAATTTTATATTACACGCCGTTGAAAATCAACATCTTTTTCTATAAAATTAAAATGCATGTCCTGAACTAGAATTATCTTACCAGTTACCCGTTCAGAAAATTACAAAATTAGCATCAAGTAATAGACTTGATATTTAGCATCAAGTACGAGCAAAAACACTGATCAAATTCAGTCTATATAATGAACTTTGCCTCTCAAGAATTACAAGTATGGCTGGTTTGATGGTTGCAATCTGCTACTGCCATGGTTACCGTAGTTAGATGTAGTTGCATTGTGTGAAGGAGCCGGACCTCTGTCGTTTTGTGGATAGAAGTATAATCTTTGATCATTAGCTTGTGAAGCATATGCGGGTTGGGTCGGGACTTGAAAATTGTAGGGGTTGGGAACAGCATGAGGGTACCTTTGGACCATACCGACATAAGCATGACTCTCGGTGTAAATAGTCGGAGCCTGCCAACCAGGAGGTTTCCGTAACCCTTTGAATCCACTGTTGGGTCTTAATCTCTTTGACGAGTGTCGTTTACCGAAATCTCCCGGCCTCTTCTTATTATCTGCTTTTGATTTTTCCAGTTGAGCAAGCCTTTTCTGGAGTGGGTCAAGTGGGTAATCGGCTTCTAGCCCATAATCATGAACACAGCTTATCACGGCTCTCAATGCTGCAAGTTCTAGTGCATTAAAATCGACCTGTATATGGAAATAACCATTTCTTATCTTTGTATAGAAAAAATACATATCAAAAGCATTCTAAGCATGAGGCAGTTGGTCATCCGGAATACAAACCTGTGGACCAGCAGCACCACCAGAGTGTCCACCCTTCCCTTGGGAATTTCTCCTCAAATCTTTCAAGTATGTCTTCAATAGGGGCACGGTCGGAAAAGTTTCAGTAAGCTGTAAGGCATGAATGAGTCGTACAGCATCTATTTGCCTCCCGCTGTTAATCAGTAATTGAACAACAACTGTGACAGAGAGACATGGTTTAGCAAATCTACACCAAACAGTGGAGTACTATATATTTCAAATAATCTAGAGCTTAAACCAAAAGGTTAACAAAAGTCGAGGCTCAAGCCACATCTTATGGAAGCAAGGGTCCAGCCTCCAAACCCCATTAGGTCAGTTAATTAAAAGAACACCAACCTGGCATTTTGTGTGTTAACCCAATGGAATGACAGAGCTCAGGTGCCTCCCGGCGGTGAGCAACTACAACAACAAGCTTGCAGAGTTCTTCTTCATCAAATTCCGAAGCAATCCTAAAAGTAGCAAGGAGCTGCAGAAAAGCCTCCACTTTCAATGATTTGCCATTGGTAGTATCATTGCCCGCACTAGACAACTTGGGTTTCCACTCATAAGCAATTGCCTTGGCTTGTTGCTTGGTTTCGGGGTTCAGAAGGTGCTCAGCACCAGGGTCTATTCTGGCCAAAAAGGCAGACATTGCTTCTATTAGGACAACACAGGATTTGCGCATTCCCTGAAGGGAAGCATCCACAGTTTGAGTTGTTTCATCAGGAGGGTAAAACCCCTGCAATGAATCCAGCACTAAACGAGCTGGTTCACTTGCACTTTCTAATGCAAAGGAAAGTTCCTGAGAAATGCCAGATAGATTTTTCTGATTCTCCATTACAAAATTAAGAAGTCCTTTTGCATCCATTTGCTCACAAAATTGAGTCAGCTCTGGACATGGCTTAACATCAGCAGCCACAATTTCAGTATTTTCACCTGTTTTATGAGGAAAGTCCTCATCAGGAGAGTTTCTATTATCGATAGGGCTGCTTACCTTGATGTCTTTGTTGACCCCCGTATCGAGAGGATCCACATATGTTGCTTGGAAATTTGAATGTGCCTCTGCAATGGCAGCAACAGCAGCATCTTTCAGCTCCTGAATTCGATCCAAGAAGTCTAGTTCCTTAGCAGCAACAGCTGCCTCCTCCTCCAAAATCAATGCAAGAGTATTACCTTCTTTCTCCTTGTACTCCTCCTCCTTAGCTTCTAGTTCTTCATATTTCTTCTTTAATGTTATATCAAGATTGCGAAAATGTTGTTCAATTTCTGTCCACTGAACCTTGTCAGAAGCATCTTTGCAAGTTTCCAGTTCAAAAACTGCCTTGCAAAGCTGCTCTATCAGAGAAGATGCAGCACCATTTTCCAAATGTTTCCTGGTACTGGCCATACTTGTGAACCGTCAAAGGAAGTTAAGGGTCAACCTACAACATTCGATTGAAAATTCGTAATCAAATAAACACAACCGACACAGTCGAAGCTAAGGGATAAAGAGTACAAAGCACTACCCTGCTAAATCAGTTCCAACATAATAGCAAATCATACAAAAAATGTAGGACAAGGCTTTCAAGATAAACCTAGAGGTTGTTACCAAGCAGAGCATCCATTGCATTATATGTATAAACACACACTTTACCGCCTAGAGATCGCCAAATTCACGTTCTTACATCCTTGCACCAGGTCTAAAAACAGCTATTCAAGTCTCAAAGGAAACTAATCCCTAAGCATTCATAGTAAATGTAAACGTCAATAACCAACATGTTAAAATTGCAAAAGAAAAAAAAGATGAACCGAAGATTCTTCATTGCATTTTTCTGTTAGTCGCACCATGATATATTTAAACCAATTAAGCTCACGAAACTGAATTTTATTTGTCTAAAATTCGCCTAGCAATTTGCTTTCGTTTTTGTCCCCTTTTATTATTGTAAGCCGAAGTGAATTCCTTGGTTTTCTCAACAACCTAAATATCCTGATCTTCACCCTTTTTTGCATTGTTTGATATTTTTAAAAACACTCAACATAAACAAAACAAAAAAACACCGAAAAATCAATAAATAGAACCAAAATTATAAATGAATTTAACTGAAATAACGATAAATTAATATATGCGTATATACATACCTCGACCGGCAGCCGATGAAAAGAAGAACCCTAAACTAAACGCAGGAAATTGAAGAATCTCTGGTGCAGAAAGAGGAAATGAATAAAAACCCTTTGCAATTTGCTCGCAAATTTCTTATTTTTCTCCGAGTAGTTTTTACCTTCTCTTGTTCTTGTTTCTCGCTTTATTGCAACGTGTTTGATGTTTTTAGCTCACTGAAACTTTAAAACCCCTCAACACTATGTTTAAATAAGCCCTCCCACTTATTTTGCAGTTAAATAAGACCCTAATTTATGATTTTTATCCTTTAAAGTCCTTAATCTAGTTAGCACATTTTATGCTTATGTGGATGATGAGATGACAAAATGACATAGTAATATAAACGTAATTATAGTTATATGTATTCATTTAATATAGTACTTTCATTCTTAGTTATGTTATAGAGTATATAACTTCTATCATAAGGATCTATTTTAAGTCACGCAAGTTCATAAAAATTTTATGAGGCATTTACATTTAGGTTAAAACCACATCTGTTATAGTTTTTATTTGACTCAAAAGTTATTTATTTCAAAATCGTATCTAAGATTTTCACCTCATACAACTCTTTTTTTATGTGCATAATAAGAATAATCTATGAAATTAAAAAAGTCGTAAATTTATTATTATAAGCTGAACGGGATAATATTTTATTCCTAAAAAAATCTCAATTCAACCCTCTTACAAAAACACTAATGTTACATTCAAATATAAATATGATTCATTTTTCAACCAAACACAAAATGAACTACAGATGATTTCTTTTAAAATTTTTGTATATTAAGAAAGTTTTTAATCACATACATTTGAGTGTTTAGTTAGGGATCTTTGTAACCAATAAAAATATGACATGCGTAAATCTATAAAATAAATAAATTTTAACTTTACTGCCATGTCATTTCGTCATCGCATCCTCCACATAATCATAAGAATGCCAACTAGATTAAGTAAGGGATTTAATGGGTAAAAATCATAGATTAGGGGCTTGTTTAACTACAAAATAAGGATGAGGTTTACTTAAACATGGTGTTGTATTTTGAGGGCTTTTTTGTATATTATCCAAAAATGACCATCCAGCTCAGTTGGCAGAGCACAAGGTTCTTAACTTTGAGGTCGTGGGATCGAGTCTCACGGAGGGCATTTCATAATTCGGAGGTCTCTTACGGAAGTTGCTCTCAACCTGGTGTTGGGAGTAGCCTACTATCTTATCTCCTTCTTACCCCATACATATGGGAAAAAGGGACAACCATTTTTTTTGTATATTATCCAACTTCATTTCATTATTGTTATTATTGGTTTAATGCATTAAAATACGATTTGGTTCTATATATAATACAAATTATTAACATAGGAAAATCTAAATACATATAAATACTTTAAACACGGCTATGAAATTGCAAAATACTCTCTCGCATATATTCCAGCTTGAACAAAATTCAAGGTACATTTTCATCATTTGGTTCATTCAAATGTTTGAAAATAATGTTATTGCTAACAGTCTCACAATCACTCCAATCCTCAGTACCCAGCAGGATATGCTAAATATATCGTTTACTACAGTGTTGTTTGAGACATTGCTCTGTAAATAGAGTCGCTATAGATATGCATATACACAAATACAGAGATGCTTAAACTCGAGGCATTCATCAACGAACATAAAGTTCGATGGTACCTGAGTCAGTCCGAATATGGTAAGTGTTTCGTGCTTCTGATATCTTGCTTTAACAAACAACTGTGTCTAAGGTCAATCTCTTGACTTGATGTGCCGACCTCGAGAAACAAGGTAAATTATAAATGCAAGATATGCGCCTGTAAATGCAGACACTATGCTTGTGAACAATAGGCCAGTGACTTCAGAGGAGAAGAAATCGAGTAAAAGATACACATTGATCACTATCACCAGCACGGTCACGAGCCATGCAACTGTCTGCAAAAAAGAGGAAAATATAAACAAGGCAAATTATTGATCAATAGTATCTACACGCAACATAGGCTAGCAAACAAGCAATAATATGAATCAACCGACCGTCAGGAGTTACAATGGTGTGTCAATCATCTCAGTGAATTTCCTTTCATATTGTAGACACCCGTTTTTATCCGGATCTAAAAAACATTATATTATATTATATTATATTATATTATATTATATTATATTATATTATATTATATTATATTTATTTATTTTTATTATTATTATTATTTAGGTCCCACACTCAATAACCCTGATTTAGTGAGATTCAAAAAATAAATCAACGTATTTGAGTCCTATTAAAACACTAAAACCAATGTATTTGAGTCTTATTGAAGCACTAAAACCGAATCATTTTGAGTCCAAGTAGGACTCTAAATCTGAGCTAAAAATAGGTTTCTTTAGACTATAAATAGACTCAAGCATCAAGAGGAAGGGACACAAAGAAAAACGTGGAACTAAAATCAGAGGAAGTGGCAATGATTTGAAAAAACTGAGGGAAGAAAAGGACAAAAAATAACCGTGGAGGATCCAAAACCAATATCTAAAAGCACGAGGAGTGGCAGAGCATTTTCATTGCAAATTTAGTTTCTCTACACATAAAACATGGGAGATGTAACAACTTTTGACTTATTCTTTTTATTTTATTTTTATTTATTTACTTTATGTATATTTTTTTCATTTTCTCCTAAATTTAATATTTTTTATTTCTTTTTACATTGTTTTATATATATATTTATTTATTTTTTTCATATTCTTTTAATATTATTATATTAATGTTTTTTTTATTATTCTTTTTTCATGTTTATTTTTATTTTTACAATCTAACACTTTTGACTTTTTAAGGATACTTTCAATCGATCAAAGTTAATTAATTCGAATTGAATTTTTAAATTTCAATTTAAATTTTGATTTTCGCGATTAAGACAACCGATGAATTAATTGGTACCGAAAGGGCGGTTCAAGGGTGCTAATCCTTCCTTGACCGTAATCGACTCTCGAACCCGACACGTTTCTGGTACAACGCAGATCAGATAAGATGGTGTCCGACCTAACTAAATTCGTTTTAAATGGTCGGTGGCGACTCCAATTCATTTAATCCAAGTCGAAGCCCAATTTCGGGGCCCAACCGAAAGACGGTTCCGACAGTTTGGCGACTCCACTGGGGACATGTAAGTGAGTAAGGCCAAAATTAATTTTCGGTTGTCTTTTTATGCGAAAATGGTAAATTTTAATTTATTAATTCGATTCCAATTATTTATCTGTGATTATTTTTCAAATAAATAGTTGTACTGACGTTTTTTAATGATTTCAGATTGTTCAAAATTTGTCATCTCAAGCTCTATACCCGAGCTCCGAACCTTTTTAAGTGGGGGTGAAAGCGACGCCTTCGTGGGAATTTATTCTCCGTATGGGCCTAGCAAGTAACCTTCAGGATTCATATACCTTATGTCTTCGTGTGAATTTATTTTCTGTATGGGCATAAGGGAATGTTTCATCTCGAGTTTAACTTAGTCCACATAAGCTTGTAATGGACTTAGGACTAAGGGTCTGGCAAGCCCAAGGGGGCACCAGCAAGGAGAATTCGAGTACCTTTTTAGAACTTAAACCGGGAGAATACAGGGAATTAGAGCCCATCCCAAAGCCTCATTTCAAACCTTAGGCTACTTTGTTTCCTGCTTTACTTTCTGTTCAAAGCATGCGAACTAGACAAATATGCGGTTATGATTTGTTTGAAATTAGCATGCAGGATAGAGATTATGTCCGGGTAAGAATAATAAGCATGTGGGGTAGGACTTTTATTTTCATGATTGTTTTTTACTATTTTCACCTCACTAACTCTTTTCATTTTTTCTTTTCTTTTATTTTATTTTCATCACTTGCATTATTTAAAAGAGGTGTTGATCCACCAAAAATGTGTTTGTTAAATATGAATAATTTGCATTAATAGACAAAGGGGTTGTAATACAAGAAATGAAAATGTAGAGGACAGTCTACAAGGCGACTATGTGTCACATTCAATCTAAAAGACGTGGTGCCCAAAAATGAAGAGTATATCACTCTGCTGCATTATAAAGGACTCGGAATGAACTGGGTCTACATCAAGCACAATGAAAGTCTGTCTTTGAAGAACTGACTGGCAAAGGTTGCAGGGGCAAGACTAGGAAAAGGTTACTGACCCGGACGCTCCTTTCGAAAACTACGAGAACAAGATGGTGAAACCCTAACTGAGCTGAATACCATTGCTGACGAATTCAAGAAGCAAGCTTCGGATAGTTTCTATCGATTGAGGACTCCAATGGTGTTGTCGTTAGGGAACAGACTCAGCAGAGTGTGGAAATCGGAGGTACAATCATTCGAGACTTTTTTTGGCAAACAACTCGTCATTTGCATGGTTCATCCAGAGAAGCCAGAGCGGTTCGACAGGTTATTCAACCGGTGACAGACGAAGGCAGAAGACTAATCAACATGTCAGAAGCTGTCAGGATATTTTTGTCTTTTAAAAGATAAAACACTTTTGTCCCCAATGAGGA